ATAGTGAAAGTCATATTTATTTTTAATCTAATTTCTTAATTCAATTTTTATAATTTGTTTTTATGAAATATTTGTAACTTAAAATATCTTCTTTTAAGTGTTGTGAAGTGTATACTCATTCCCATATGAATCAGTTTAAAATTTTCAATTGATTAGACGTTATCATTACATGACATTATCTAAGATTATCTCAGTTTTGTATTATAATATATATGTATTTATTGTAGGAATTCGATGTTAATGAAATTGATACGGGTGGAATGATTGAAGTATCAACAACTCGATCATCGAAATCAATAGCTACTCTTAAATATTGAGACAGAAGCAGATTAAAATCCATTTTTTTCTGGTAGTTTGTGACAGACAATTGTAGGATTTGATTAAAATGATTAAATTGATTTGAATCAATTGTTAATATAATAAAACTACAAAATAAATAATTGAGGATTTGCAATGAAATTGATTTTGTATTATTGATATATTGACAAAATTTATTTCTTGTTACATAAGAAGTAATTATTGAATGAATTTAATGGAAATTTTAAAATAAAGTTTAATATTTTTGAATAAACTTCCTGTGTTAATATAAACATAAGAAGTATAAAGTGATGTTTATGTCTAAAATAAATAAATAATTAATTCATTTGTTTATATAAGTTTACTATAAATTATTTATTTTATCAACATGGGATTTAAAAATTGATAATCTTTAATATTAGAAATATCACAAGATTTGTGTAACGTGCACCTATATCTAAATATTAATTCTTCAAAGAATGTAATCATTTTAGCTTTACTGATTTAGTATACTGATTAATATCACTAAGGCACTTTAAGTTGGTGCACCTATTACTATATGTCAAATACACAATTTTTATGAAGGCTGTAACCATTTTAGCTTTCCTGTACTAACTGGTAATAACTTTAAGTAATTGGTAATCATCATAAAGCCATTTTATGTTGGTACTTCTTCCAGAAGATGTCAAATTCTATAAATGTCACCAGAATCATGAAATGTGTACTAAAGTACGTACAAAATACAAGATCACTTTAAGTTAGTAGAATTATTAAATAGGGTCAAATTGTAAAACCGCTAAATGCTATAATAAAAGTGTACGCAACTTTATCTTAATATTATTTCTGAACCATTTTCGTTATACTGTACTAATTTAATAAATTGGAAAATATCGCTAAGACAGTTTAAGTTGGTACACCTATTAGGAGCTGTCAGATACTAGAAATGTCATAAGTTACGTGTTACGTGTGACGTGTACCCCTATATCTTAATATTATTAGTTTCACTGATTTAGTGCAGAGGTTAATATCACGAAGCTACTTTAAGTTGGTACACCTATCACAATCTGTCGAATACACAATTTTTAGAAAGACTATAACCATTTTAAATTATCACATAGCCATTTTAAGTTGGTACCTCTTCCATATGTTTTCAAATATTAGTGTACGTATCATTGTACTAATTCAATCAATTGTTAATTATCACAAAGACACTGTAAGAAGTTGACAAAAAAATTAAATGTCATAAGATTTATGTAATGTGTACGTTTCTGTACACTGTACCAGCTTTATAAATTAGTAATTGTCACTTAGTCACTTTAAGTTAGTATACCTATTAGAAGCTGTCACATGCTAGAAATGTCACAAATTTAGTCTCATGTCAATGTACCTTCATCTTAACATTACTTAGACAAAGGCTGTAACCATTTTAGTTTCACTGTACTATATAAATTATATAATTAAATATTAATATAATAATATAGTTAAATATAATTAAATAGTAATTATCACGTAGCCAATTTAAGTTAGTACATTTATCACAATCTGTCAAATTCTAGAAATGTTAATTGTGATTTTAACATTACTTCTCAACTATTTTAGTTTAACTATACTAACTTCATCAATTTGTAAATATCACAAAGCCACGTAGATACACCTATCTGTCGAATACAAGAAATGTTATAAGTTTTGTATGATGAATACGTACCCTTATTTTAACTTTACTTCTACAAAGGCCATAAGCATTTTAGTTTCACTGTACTAATATAATTAAATTGTAAATATCACTTAGACAATATAAGTTAGTATACTTATTATAATTTCTCAAGCATTTGAATGTCAAAGTACTAACTATCAATTGTTTGGTACACCTATCAAAATTTGACAAATACTAGATATGTTAAATGTTTTCAGTAATGTGTACACATTTCTGAATTAACATATAACAAAAAACTGTAATAACTTAATCAAATAGTAATTGCTACTTTTTCAACTTTAAGTTGGTACACCTACTAGAAGTTGTCAAAAATGACAAAATGTCATAATTATTTTAATATTATTTGTTTAAGTAATTAGAAAACAAAATATTTTGAAACTTTATTGAAACTGTATTCACATATAATACTTACAAAAAATAACATTTGAAAAGTTCATTAAAAAATTGTAATGTGTATGCACCACTTACTAAAAATAATTATGTTCAATGCACTTTGAAAAATAGTTAAAGAAACTGAAAGTATATATTGTATATATTGATTGAATAATAATTGATAAAAACTAGTTTAGAAAATTGCGTAAGTTGAGAATATATGATATATGTAGGGATAATAACGTAAGATCATCGTTGTAAGCTATTTATGTTGTTGGATGATATTTTTTAAGTCCCCCGGTAATCGTTTAATGAAATTGTGGACCCGATATAAATATATAAAATTGATACAAATCAGATGCTATAATCTATATTAAATATAGGTAAATCGTTATCGGACGAGGATTAGATTATATTCGACATCTGTCTACTGTACATAGCTCAGTAATAAAGCGGGCTGTGTGTGCGTGAGCTGCGGCTGGAGAACTGATCCGAACAATACATTTCATACATTCAACAAACAAAAAAAGTCACAAAATAAAATTACATCATTTGAAAATTTCGAAGAAAGGAAAGGAGAAAAAGGATCAACGAGAAGGTAATGCGTGTACGTAGATTTAGTTATTATCCTTCTAAGAATTTATAAGGATATATTTGAAATAGGCCGTGGCAAATAAACAATACGTCTTCCACTTAAAATATGCAGTGAAAAACAGAGGCGAGAATGCTTGGTTGCTTGCTTGTTGTGACGTCTCACGTAAATGTTTAGTTTAAAATTGGGAATTCGGGAGCAGAAAATTTTCGCGTATTTGTACTCCTTCCATTCGGTTGAGCGCATGCAAAAAGGTGCGTTCATTTTCTCTATTAAGAAAACGGGATTTCGTGCAGATTTTCTGCTTTAGTTTTGTGCATCCGATGTCCTGGATGCATGTGCCTTTTCGTGGAATGCGTTTTTACGGTGTTTACTTAACAAATGGGATTACTTTCGTCGCGAATCTCTGCTTCGCAGTCCGCGATTTCTGGAATCACAGTTTGTAAGTTCGAAGCATATATTGATAGATAGAGAGATAGTTTGTACAGAAGTTGGAGGTGCTTATTGAAAAAGCAGGACCGTATTTCTTTAATTTGTAATAAATATTATAAAATACCATTTTCTTAAATTTAATTTTCTCCTATAAAAACAAATGTTATGAAATTTTTAATAACATTTTCTGTAGAATTTTTTTATATTATTTGCTGCAGTATTTTTCAATTTATATTTTTCAATCAAAATATTTCTATATCATTTTCTATACATTTTTTGCTACCTGTTTTTTTTTAACATTTTCCATAGAATTTTTTGTATCATTTTCCATTTCTGATACCTCTTTTTTTCATTATTTTTTAAAATTAAATTTTTTTCTATAAACATTTTTTTTATGACATTTTTAATGTATACATTTATGAATACTTCAATTTATTATTTTTAATTGGAGACTTAAGAAACAAGATATAAAATTCATTTAAATTTTGTTTAGTAACATTACAAAAATTTCCTATGTTAAATTATTCTAAATATAGACATTTTCTAATTCAAATTTACTTCAGAAATACATGTACATTCTGATTCAGTTTATTTAGTTTTTTTTTTAATTCTTGCTCCATTTATACTCAAATAACTTAATTAGAAGACAATAAACTAAATAGTAAAAATAACAAGTTTAATAATTTAATTTGGTTATTCTACAATTCATAACATCTGTATACTTTTCGAAACATTTAAATTCAAATTCCCAATTCATTCTTGAAATATACTTTGGTAAATTATTTAATGACATTATTAGTCTTCGTTTGCAAGAACCGACAGTTCACACTAACTTACATCTTAAATGCTTGTCATTGATATACCTTATTCTTGAAATATGTTTTAATAAATTATTCAGTGAACAAATGTGTTCGACGTTCACATCAAAGTACATGTTTATTACTTCTCAATCATATACATTATTCCGTAAAATATGTTTCAATAAGATATTCACTGAGTAGTTTTGTCTTCTTTAGCTCGAACTTACTCGACGTTCATACCAACGTATATTTTAGATGCATCTCATTCATATACATTATTCTTGAAATGTGTATTAAAGTATTATTCAGTGAACAGATGTGTCTTCGAAGCCGACGTTCACATAAACGTACATTCTTATTACTTCTCAATCATATACTTTATTCCGTGAAATATGTTTCAATTAGTTATTCACTGAATAGTTGTGTCTTCTTTAGTTCAAACTTATTCGACGGTCATACCAACGTACATTTTAGATGCATCTCATTCATTTACATTATTCTTGAAATATGTTTCAATAAATTAATCAGTGAACAAATGTGTCTTCGTAGCTTACGTTCACATCAACGTAAATTTTTATTACTTCTCAATCATATTCATGAAATATGTTTCAATAAGTTATTCACTGAGTAGTTGTGTCTTCTTTAGCTCAAACTTACTCGATGTTCATAACAACATACATTAAAGATGCATCTCATTCATATACATTATTCTTGAAATATGTTTCAATAAATTATACAGTGAACAAATATGTCTTCATAGCCGACGTTCACATCATCGTACATTTTTATTACTTCTCAATCATATACATTATTCCGTGAAATATGTCCGTGAAATATGAACGTACTCTACGTTCACACCAACGTACATATTAAATGCTTTTCATTATACTAAGGTATATAATTAACGAAGTTGAGGATGTTTTTTTTCTGGCTGGATTCGACCCTGGACGTTGTGTGTTTGTTGGCGCAATTGAATTTGGGTTGCGATAACGAAATAATAATTTATATAATTCCGGTATTCGGTGTTTATTTACCTAGCTAAATAAACGATCGAGCACATATATATAATATTATATATATGTGTGTATGTGTGTGTGTGTGTATACCGATAGAATATAAATATAAAATACATAGATAAAATAAACAAGCAGCGGGAGCTAAATGGGTGCCTTCAGTTCCAGTTCAAATGTAAACGCGGAGATCGGGAATCACAGCTGTACAGATATCACCCAACAATAAAATGGCTTCTGTTTATACAACGTAAATACTACAAATAAAAGATTTGGCATATGCCGAGCATCGCCTCAGCACGGATTCCAATAGAATGAGAGCGATCCTCGTATGCGTTTACCTGTTCTTAGCCAACGCATCGCCTCATCTCTTCAGCAGAGGTAAGTTAAACCATCATCAAACCATATACCATACATTTTTACCATATTATATAACATTATCAGTTCAACTTTACATACTATTTTCTATATTACTTTTAATATTTTCCATACCATTTTTTGAAGAATTTCTCATATCTATATGATTTTACATTTTCATACCATTTTTAATTTCATTTTCTATACAATTGGTTCTAACTTTGTATTATTTTCCGTACAATTTTCTATATCATTTTTATTCCATTTTCTGTAACATTTCATTTACCATTTATTATCTACTTTTTAACATTTTCTATATAATTTTCTTTCGCAATTTTATGTATCATTTTCTATTTCTGATATCGTTTTCCACAATATTTTTCATCATTTTTTGTAGCATTCTTAGTATTCTTTCTTTATCAATTCTGATACCATTTTCTTCAACATATTTTTTAACCAGCATTTTCTGTAACATTTTATTTACCATAATCCATCTGTTTTTGTACCTTTTTTGTAGCATTTTCTTTAATTTTGTTATACTCAAATATTTTTATAATTTTTTTGGCAATTCTGATACCATTTTGTCTAACAATTTTTTACTATTTTTCATAGTTTTATTATACAATTTCTATATCTTTTTCTTCATCATTGCTGATACAATTATTCCTAACATTTTTTTACCATTTTTCCATAAACATTTCTGTATCACATTCCATATCTGATACCATTTTTTCACACATTTTACTGTAATAAACCATATTCTAACATTTTTTTAGTTAATGTATTTACAATTGTCTACAAGATATACCATTTTATAACTTAATTATACTATCCTGATTACCAATTAACATCGATTTACACAGATTTTCCGAACGACTACTCCCTCCTAATACCTGACCAAGATCAAGAGCCGTTCAAGCGCGATCCACAGCCGGAAAGCATCAGTTTGAAGAGCGGAAGCGATCTGATCCTGAGATGCAGATCGCACGGTTGCCACAGGAGCAGACACGAATGGCATTTCGCGGTGAGTGCAACCTTTCCACACTATTCGTGATCAATTCGAAGGAAACCATTTTTAGCCTTGCAGGAAGTGCCGCAACAAGAACAGGCTGCAATGGAGCAAGATGCAACACACGAGGAGGAACTGCACATCACAGATGCACGTGAAGAACGTCACCAGTTCGCACAGCGGACTCTACAAATGCGAAGTCAACAAATTTACAACCCTTTACGATGTAGACGTCATTGGTAAATAATAATACACGTTCTATTTATAACCACATTGTGCTAACATCTCACTGTCTGCTTAAATATTTATTGTATAGTTACATTAATTTAATTGCAAGCTTTAAACTACAAATGTCAACACATTAATGTTGCATTTAAACAAATATTAATATAATATAATTACAAACATGTATATAATAATAAATATCGTTAAATATTTAATTACGAAATACATGATAATTATATTAATTTGAAATTTCAAGACAATTAACAGTTTTTTTTTAATTTACAATAAAAAAATATAATTAAGAAAAGATAATGACAAAAAGACAAGACAATTTGGATATTATATTTTTTTTTTCATATTTAACTATTTTATTTCTAAATGTTCTAAACTTTGAATGCAATAGCAAATGTTTTAATTTTCAAAATAAAAAAAAATATGTTTTTCTATATGAAATTTTTGACAAACTAATAAAAAATAATTAGTTCTAATTAAACAGTATTTTTAATAAAATATTTTTTTAATTTGCTTACAAAAAACATATATTAAACTAGAAATTGAAATAAATTTATAAAAAGTTTAAGTGAATAAACCTTTTTTTTATATATATTCTAAGTTTTCTCAAAAAGTCCACTTTATAAATGTTTTTCGTATGTACTAAATAATTGTTGTTATTTCTACTTAATCAATATTTTCAAATAGAATTAATTTATACTTAGTAATTGTATATATATGTAGATTTATATACATATTGAGTAATAATAAATACGTTTGTATTATCCACCTGGTTGTAAATCAAATAAGGTAAATTCTATTGATACGCAATGTAAATATGATGAAACTGCAATTTTGAACAAAGTGCTGGTATATTTGGTGTTTGATAAAGGCTAGATAGGAAAATCCAGGAAGTGATGTCTGTATAATGTATGGCTTTTATTGCAGATAATTCTGTTTGAACGTTATTGATTTCATTTTAAAATATCGACAATTTATATGCCGAGCAAACACCGATTTCTGCATGTTTTATCAGATGTTATTCAAAATGTTTGTTACAAATTTATATATATTTTAATTACTTTTTTAAATTTAATAGAAAATTATACAAATTAAAAGAAATATATGCTGAAAAGTATACAAAAATGATCAATTTGTTTTGTAGTAATTTGTAACTTAAATCAATTGTTTTTTTTATAATAAAGAATACAAAACTTCAATTAGTTCTTTAAGTAATTGCAGATTATTACATACATAAAAATAAAAACGTATGCAAATTAACTTATTGACACCAGTATTATAATTTTTTTTATATAAATCAAAATTTAAGATAATGTAGAAAATATCAAAATTTTCTTTAATTGGATTTATTAATTTCTACAAAAAAAATACTATTAGTAATTAATCAATTAAGATTATAGCATTATTTATGTTTCATTTCAAAACTATGCCAGTCATTTCAGTGCGTTCCAAATAAATTGATAAGTGACAAGTTTATTGTACCATTATTACGTAGAGATTTTGGTAAAATGTACTGTTACTTACTACTTGCAAAGTTTTCAAATTTATATTTCAATGTTCTGTGCATAAGTGATATTTTGGTTGCCTATAATTCATCTGCATTTCAAGATTTCTTCCTCTTATAACATTGTTTTTTTTTCAAATGTTGAATTTACTTATACAAATTAATTACACAATTTAATATATCAAGATTTTTGCAGAAATTGGTAATTTTTAATACATTCTTGTAGATTTTGCCTACTTGTAAAGAAATATTTCATGTAATCTGAATTATTATAAAATATTGTCTAAGTTTTTAATAAAGACATTATAAGTCATGAAATTAATATTAAGACTAAACTTTCCAAGTCTAAGTTTAAATATCTTGCATTTATATATAAGAATTATAGTTGTATAGGGTATGGAGACTGCTATGGGCTTTCGCCTCTTTCAGCCTTCTAAATTTTACATCTTCAACTTTATAAAATTGAACATTTACAGCTATAGACTGTAGGTCTTTTCGTCAATTTTAAATAACAAAATTAGTTTTTTTTTTTGTTAACAGTATAAAAAACTTTTGATCTTATATATTAAGTTTTCATGCATTTACAAATTTGGTTTTAGAATTGGTGAAATTTGAAAGTAAATCTAAAATTAACAAACAAAATTATATTTTAAGTTATAATTTTAAGTTTTTAATCATATTTCATTTTTATTTAGAATTGGTGAAATATGAAGGTGAACCACCAAAACTACTCGAGATATTCCCATCGAATTCAACGATAAAACCGTATTCCTCAGTGGTGGTCCAGTGTCGAGTGTCCAGCATTCACGTCCCGATGATCTTGTGGTTCAAGCAGATCGAGAATGGCTTAAGATATGACCTAAAGTACTCAGAAAAGTATTACATCCGTATAAACGCTTCGCACAACGTGTATCCATTGCCCAACGATGAAAACGTCTTCGTGAGCAAACTGAATATCCATAATGTCACCTATCTAGACTCGGGAACGTACTTCTGCGTTGCAGTGACCGAGTTGGGAATGGATAACCAGAATTTTACTATAAAGGTGGTATCGACGTTGAGCTACTACGAGCAGCCCACCAGTTTTTCCACGCTGTTCCTGATTCCTCTGCCCTTCGTCCTGATACCCGTCACCGTATGGCTGTGCTACTATAAGAATAAGAGAGCGAAGAAGATGAAGGATTCCAGGAATAAGGAAGAACTTATCCTCATGCAAACGACCTCTCAACATTAATCCTATTTCTTTTATATATATGTATATACATAATTATACTATTTGGCAACTACTGCTCATGTGATATTTATAAATTTTTTGTTTTGTTAATTTTTATTAAATATATTGAGATATTTATTTTACGTTTACCTTCATTTCTCATCTTATAATATCAATACCAAACAATAAAGTTACGTAACTTTTGAGTAATTAAGCAAAAACGTGAAAATCAGTAAAGAAAACTGAAAACTTGTTGCAGCGAAACATTTGTTAAGAAATCGAAATATCGATGTTAAAAGTTTTTTCAGCAATTCTTGATGAATTACCTAATTATCCTGCCTGGTTTATTCGAAAAGCGACTGAATTATGTAATTATCCTAACTTTTGTTAGATAATAAATTGAGAAACGGTGATGTCCTTCCTACGCACCAATAAAAAAATAATATTTTGTGCTTGTAGACTAATCAAGAAAAAACTCTTCGGCTCGTAACTTTTTTAACATTATGAGTTGCGTGACGGTGGCTCGCACCTGATTATGCAATAAAATAAGGAACAAAAAGTTACGTAACTTTTCTATATCTTTCAAGTTGCAATTTGAATGAATGAATGCAAAAATCGCATGAAATTCACACAAAATTTTGGTAATTTTCAGTCTGTTTCAAAATAGTAACTTCGATGCTTGATTTTTTTTTCAGTAGGCTCTTTTGAAAGGTTTCTAGTTCACGATTCTTGTTAAATAATGTAATTATCTAGAGTGCTTATCCTCGAATGTTTCTCCAGCAATTCAAGAAAATTTTAAGACATCTAGAATCATCATCTAATGAGTATTGCGCAACTTTCAATTAATTGAAAAAATTAAAAACTCGTAGGATTGCAACGTTTGTTATATAACGAGTAAATGAATTATGTAATAAAATATAAAAATCTCTCATTATATTTTGAGTTCTTAAGGAAAATCGATTTTTTTTCTATCATACTTCGATTTTAACAAAATCATGCGGTAATTTTGCAAAATTTTCAGTATTTTTCAGGTACTTTCAAAATGGATTTCCATTGATGCTAGTTTTTTTTTTCAGTGGGTTCATTTAAAAGGTAACGGTCTTCAGTTTAAGATTGTTGTTCAATTATGTAATTATTTTTCCTGCTAATACTGAAATTAATATAAAGATACTACTTTTCAGTTACGATACATTTGACAGCTTATAGCAGACGAACGTTTGCTAGTACAAAGCTGCCAGTGGGATTGTTGGAAAGGTAAGATTTTTAGGTTTAATTTCGAGTATTCTCTAATCTAAGTAACACTGAATAAACTGAAGACATCAAAAATAGTCGATTCACTGTTACCTAATAATTAGAATTATTTGATTCTCTATTGTTTCAGCTTTAATTTGCGTATTCAATTGTCCATGAGCGATTCGTAGTTTTCGAGAAATTCATAGAAACGAAAATCTCATCGATAGATGGCGCACTTTTTTTTCTACGAATTTTCCAAAATCAAACTATCCAAACATTAAGCACTTATTACAAATTAAGAATATGAAAGTTAAAATTAATTTTTATTACAAATTCTCCTTCAATTGTAAGCAATAACCTGTTCTTTCTGCATTGAAAGAACGAAGATCGACAGAAAAAAACAAACGATGAATTCTGTAGCTGTGCGTGAATCACGAAACGAAATTGGAAAAATTTGTTGAAGTTTTTAGATTTTAGAGTGAGATAGAGATCAGAGGACATTACCAACACTTCCTGCATTCCGAAATGTAATCTCGCTACGGTTTAAACTAGCGAAATAATAATTTTATTCTTATTTTTATTTGATCCAATAGTTTTTTTTTAAATATTCGTTAACTTTACAAACGTTTCATTCAAAATCAGAATACATTTACAATTGAAACAATTGAATTATTTGATTTTCTATTGTTTCAGCTTTAATTTGCGTATTCAATTGTCCATGAGCGATTCGTAATTTTCGAGAAATTCATAGAAACGAAAATCTGATCGATAGATGGCGCACTTTTTTTTCTACGAATTTTCCTAAATTAAAATTTCCAAACATTAAGCGCTTATTATACATTAAGAATATGAAAGTTAAAATTATTTTTTATTACAAATTCTCCTTCAATTGTAAGCAATAACCTCTTCTTTCTGCTTTGAAAGAACGAAGATCGACAGAAAAAAACAAACGATGAATGCTGTAGCTGTACGTGAATCACGAAACGAAATTTCTAATAAGTCTGCCTAGAAATTCATAAAAAATCGAAAATCTTCGTAATGAATATTACGTAACTTTTCTTGGATAATGCAATAGACAGTAACAAAAATGCAAGAAAATTGGGTGACTTTCGAGAAATTAATATAAAACAGGGAAAATTGATAACTCGTCAAATCGCAACGTACGTAACGAATTGCAAAGCTTACCCGTACCAGATTATACAACTAAATAAGAAAAAAGTTGGTTAGTTATTGAGGAAAATTATTTTTTCTATCAAACTGCAATTTTAACAAATTCCAATTGGACAAAATTTGATAAATTTTAGTCAGTTTCAAAATTGAAACAATGATGCTAGAATTGTTTTAGTAGGATCATTCGAAAGGAAGCGTATTTCCAATTTACCATACTTATTCCATTATGTAATTATCTTGCGCGGTTATCCTGGAATTAATTAAAACATGAAGATAATCATTTTGAGTAATCAACTTGTAGCAGATTAAGGTATGATAGCAGAAACCTTATTTGAGTATTTTTTTGATTTAATTAGTATGAGAAATTCAAAATTGTCATTTCTTAGTTACCTATTGTTAGGTAACAGACAATTCACTTCAAAGTAGCATTAGATGCGTAATCACATGTTGATTTTTATGGAAAAAAGGACAGAAATGAATAAACATTCAGTCAGATAAGGTAATTCAATAAATAAAAGACGATATTTGATCTGGGGATTAAAAGGAAGTTCCATATATTTCTATAGAAATACCAATTACATCGGCGGATTTCAAATGCGAGCCACAATTTGCATCGGGCTCAAATGCAAATTGTGGCTGCACAACCCATTCTGTATACACATAATACTACACATAACATATCATACACATATCATATTTTTGTTTTGTTTCACATTTATTACACTTAATCTTATGCAATATAGTATAGTAAGAAACAATATCCATCTTCACAACAAACATGATATTTGCACAAATATTACATCAAATATATAATATATATAGTTTAGACAATATTCTTACACTAAATTATATAATCATTTAACAATCACTTAGATTTATAAGTATGTATATTTAATATTACAGTCGCCTTTGTCTCGACGAAAGTAACTCCAGTTACTTTTGTTTTCGCCTTAAAACTCTCGTATAATCAATAAATAATTAACAAATATATATGTATATAGATTACTTTTTTTTTTGTTTTACTACAATTTACATTCTACCTATTAATTTAATAAATCTAATAGATTAATCGCTAATTGCTTATATTTAGATATTTATATCAAAAAAAATGTACACTTTGGAGATGAGGAGGAAGAATTTTCTTAGATATACGTCTAAACATTATATAATAGTCATAATTAGATATAAACTTATTACCTATAGTTAAACATTAACATTTTTTTTTAGTTTTGAACATCTATAGAATATTCTCTTGAATCTTTGCATTTTCTTTATGAAATATGTACACTATACATTTAAAAAGAACTATATCATTTAATATAAATATTCTTCATATTATTTCTTTTTTTTCACAGCACCATTAAATACCATTTAATTAATGAGAAAGAACGCCACGAACTTAACTGAAGATTAAGAAATTAATAATATCACAAGAAAAAATTGCGAAATGACGCAAATATCACAACCAAAATAACAATTTCTCATTCATTTTTTCAATACATATATATATTTATGTGTGTATATATATAATATCCCTTCGTTATGTTGAGTAATTACTGGCGCTTTTTATACCCTGTATATTTCTCTATTGTACTGTAGGCAAAGAAAGGAACTTAGCGTATTCAACTAAATGTTTTGCGTGTGCGAGAGTTCTATTATTACTTTTTTTTGGTATGAAAAGAAAAAAAGAACCTTTGATCTGCGAGAACAACAAGATGTATAGATATGTGCGTTGAACGTTTCGTATAATCCGGATTTTTTTTTAGACTTGAACGGGATTGCGTTTCGTCTTCATGCTGGATGGTCGTGATTGCTATAAGACGTCCTTCATCTGGATAGGACCGTTGCAGTTGTTGTTGACTTTGGGGGAGTCGGAGCCGTTCATTGTCGGATTCGTTTGGGTGCTGGTGTCCTTCATTTCCGGTTTGTCGCTTAGTTCGGTTTCGTCTCTTTCGATTATGTCGGCTGGCGGTACGTGTTTCTGGATCTGATTCTTCTGGTTGCAGGTTGCGGCTGTTACCATCACCGCGGCCATCATACTTCCGGCACCGGAATTGGCGGTTCCGGTTGTGCTCTTGTTGATTGCCGAGTATCGCATTGGCATCATGCTTTGGCGGACGTTGCGTTCGGGTCTGATCAGGATTATGTAGAGCTGAAACATAATTATAACGATGAGTAATCTAGTAACATTATAAGAAAAGGGTCTGATCATGATTTTGTAGAGCTGAAACAGTTTTACAATGAGTAATCTAGTAACATTATAAGAAAATTATGGATTTACAATCAAATATCAACTTTTCCACAAAAACGGTTTAAAACGGTTTTCGATTTTTCACAAAAAAAATAAAGAGAAAGAATTTCTGTAACATATTTTCTTTCTCTCATAAAATAAAATTTAAAACACTCGAGAATAATAAAATGTAATCCATGGAAAAGTATATAGACAAATGAGTAACAATAATTTATTCCTTCTTTTTCTCAGAAAATACAGATCTGGTCTTACCATTGTCTTGTATATCATTTTGTTTTAATTTTTCGTTCTTCTATTTATGCCCTCTAATACTGAAAATTGTTTATTAGTGTTTTAGGGAAGGACAGAGTCGTTTAGGTTCTTCAAGATATTTATTAATTGATTTTTTCATAACCTTTTTATAAGATAATGTAGTCAAAAATAAGACTTATTATCATCCCGATTTTATGTTTGTTTCGTGAAACTTAGTATTTAAAAATATTCGGGTTTTATGCCAAATAATTAATTTATTTTTATATTTTAAGTCTAGGTTCAAAATCCGATTTTTTAGTTGGAAAAATTTCTTAAGAATTTTAAAACCCTAATGTTGATCTTCAGTTTTTCGTTCTTCAATAATGAAACAAGTATAAAGTTAAAATAATGAAGTGATACTTGAAAAGTAATGACTTTTCAGGATTAAATTAAATTTTCGTTTTCTCGGTATTTCCATTAATTTTGCTAATTATATTAAAAAGGTAAAAGTCAAATATTACCAAATTGTAGAATATTGAATATTTCATTAGAACTTGAACACGCTTTGTATGAATATGCAGTGTGTTGTGTAATACGCCTGAACTTACACTAATTGCTAACATTTGCCTAGTAAATTATTTTGCTTATGTAATATGTAAACTTTGTGTAAGATTTTATTAAGATGAAAAATATTTACTCAAATTAGAAGACAAATTATTAATTTACTACAATGTATAATAAACTTAATAAATGAACATCGATGGACAGTGATGAACATTGATGATCAGTGATGAACAGTGATGAACATTGATGAACAGGGTTGAACATTGATGAATATTGATTAACATTGAAGAACTTTAATGGACAGTGATGAACATTGATGATCAGTGATGAACATTGATGGCCAGTGGGCGAACATTGATGAACATTGGTAAATGTTTATGAACAGTAATGGACTTTGATAAACATTGACAAACATTGATGAAAATTGATGATTGTTTGTAAGAATCAGTTCGATAGAAAGTCGTAAAAGTGTTAAATTTCATTCTAATATGTAAGTATTATGAATAAGTATATAAAAATATTGAAATTTACCTTAGGAGAGAAGAGACAAGCAACGGTGACACTGGCAGAAAGGCTGATAGTAACGGACATGCTGGTAATTCTTAGAGCGACGTGGTTTGCAGTGCCAAAGTACAAAGGAACAAAGGCCAACCAGATTACGCATGTAGTGTACATGGTGAAACCTACAAAAGAGATCCATCAAAATCTGATTCAAAGTGGTACTGATGATGGACTATATTTACCGATATGTTTTGATTCATTGAAGGCTTCTGGGATTTTCCGTGTTAGAATAGCGTAGATAGTGCAGACGACGATGAGCAGGATCGGATAGGTGAATGCTATCATGTAGGAGGCATCAATATAGGAAGAGCAGACGAGAAGATTGTCCTCGCGCGTAGGATAATGATGAATTGCCCTTGCTGGAGATATGACCATCCATACACCATTAATCAGCACCTATAAAAATTATGATATTTTAGAAAAAAAAAATCTATAAAAAACGGTTCTTTGAAAATACCGGTATTAAAAAAACGGTTTTATAAATAGATTCTTGCTAATAGTGTTAGATATGAGTTGATCGATTTACCTGTACTCCAATTAAACCGCTGCAGATAATCAACTGAGATCGGGGTGAGATAAAGCTTGGTCGCTTTGCTGACCTTTTCCCTGCGTTGAAGATCCTCGAGATCCTATTGGTTTTGGTGAGAAGAGCAGCGTAGACGACGGTGAAACAGAATCCGGCTCCGAATCTGTGCAAGCATTTTTCGTTCAGGAAAGAGGAAATCTTCGGGGTTTTAGCTAATTTACCTCTGGATGCCGCAAACTAGATCGCTCGGTCGCAGGACGAGAGCGTACGTGACACAATAGCACATCAGGATTCCTGCCAAAAGGACGTAGCTTAATTCCCTTCCCGAAGCTCTAACGACTGGGGTGTCGTTGTGGCGGATGAAGACGCCGCAAACGAAGAGCGTTATAAGGATGCCGGTTGATCCCAATGCCATCGCGCCGATGGCCCAACCGCTGTCCGGCTGAAGATACTCCTCGGGTATTTCCACGCATCGAACGTGCAGAGGATCCGGAACCGTTCCCAACGGGCATCCCGTGCATTGTGTCGGATCAGTCGGATGACGAATCTAAGAGTTAATTAGAAAGTTAATACAAATCTTTGACTTTCATTGATTTATCTAATTGTTTATTAAGCTGCATCCAAACTGTCAGATAGAAACGTCTTTCTGTCAGTACACAAATGTAACTGTCAGTTAAATTTATCAATTACACTTTGAACAAAACCTTTTTTTTTTAAATTCATTATAAATAGTTCAAGAAATTTTACAAAAAAGAAATATATAAACAAAATATTAAAATTAATTGTACTTTTGTGATGATAATTAATATTTTCTTTAAATATTACTTTGGATATCAAAGAAAATTTTAATCTAAAATATAAACGTTATTGGAATATTTTTTTCAAAGCATATCGATTTTTACCGATAAATAATCTAATAAAAATGACATTAGTGTAAATTGGAGATTCGTATAGCATAATCATATTTTATGCAAAATTATATACATTTTAATGTCATCCAATATTTATACTTTTCCTTCATCATTTTGATAAGTTTTAGATTAGTAATAATTATAAAGATAGGATAGTTTCTATTTCAGTAATTTCAAAGTGAATATGAAATGTTTAAAGTTAATTAAGAAACAGTGGAAATTATATAATGGTGTTTTTTTTATATACACTTAATTATTAATAGTAATAATTAGTACATAAATACTAGTAAAAATGTTTATTTAACAACTATTCGATAAGAAAAAGTACTTTTATACAAGTAGACATTAAAAGTTATATAGTAAATAAATACTTTACTAATAATTTTGCTATTTTGTGTATATATTATATCAGTAAGTATAATATAGAACAATTTATAATAAGAAACAATAGATATTTTTGTATTATATTTTTATTTGGAACTAAAAACGTAAGTTTTTTATTTTGTAATACAAAACAAAAGTTTCTAATACATTTATGATTGTTGCTAAACCTGGTAGATTTTTATGTGTCATTTCACGTTTAGTATAGATGCAACATTTACAAAGTTAAAACGCTGAAAATTATTGGAAAAATTAATATTTTCTTCTCTTTCAATGTAATTCGTGTATAGATGCAGATGTAGTATAGATGCAGCATTACAAATTTTGTTAAAAATATATTCATATGATAATTGCTATAAATTTAAAATCTATACTAAATGTTACATGAGATATAAACGTTTATTATTGGAAAAAGTTAGATTTTCTTCTCTTTGAATGTATTTATAGTGTAGATGCAACATTTTCAATAGGGAATTACATTATTTTTCTGAATAATTGAATAAATAAATAAAAGCAATCACATTAATGTTAATTATTTAAATATATTTTGTAGCTGAATGATGTGACGGATATGTAAAACTCGTGTTTTTTTTTTAAAATTCATTTGCATTCATATTTTTTTTTGAATAATTGAATTTATATTCAAAAGCATAATACTAAGAGCAATTACATTGATGAAAATTATTTTAAATTATTTATGTTTTAAATTTAAATAATAAAATATTATTTGAAAAACTTAAGTTTCTATATTGATTTAATATAATTATTACTTTTGATTATTAACAACAATAGTTAACGTTTATATCTCATGTAACATCCACTACGAATTATATTTTTTTTAGTAATAATAATTCGAAATTATTTCTAATAAAATTTGTAAATGTTAAGAAGTAAATGTGATTGATGTAAAATTTGTATTTCGTAATTTATGTACATTTAAATTCTGAATATCAATAAAGTATAACAAAAGCAATTGCATTTATGAAAATGGACCTAAATTTTAATATATTTCTATAGAATATAAAGAATAATTCAATTACATTTTTTTGTGTATAAATTTGGAATAATTTTGTGAATAATGGAATATCAAAATATTATTTTCTATCTAATTTTTGTTCTTAGCAATTTGAAAGTCTATAAGTATAACAAAAGCAAGTAAATTTATGAAAATAGATCTAAAATTGTACATTTTTTTTAACTTATATAATTAATTGTGAAAATAATGAGTATTATTGATAAATGAAGAATTTTAGTATACTTTTGTATAATCAATAAGACAATGTAATAATCCATAGTTCGAAAAGTTTGTTTAATGTTTAAAATTGGGTATGTTACATAAAGAATAATTAAAATACATTGTTTTTAGTTTACTTTTGACGTTTATGTCTCTAATTATGGTAAGTGTAGACGCAGCATTATAAATATTAAATTTGGAATAATTTTCTCAATAATTGAATGTCAATCAGCTCATAAAAAAAAAAATGTACTAAAAATGTGTATCATAAAAAAAGTTTAAGTTGTGACTATAAAATAGGATCTGAAATATGTAAAACTTGTGTTTTGTAATTCATGCGTCATAATTCATGTCTCTGTTTTTGCATTAATTTAATAATTAATAGCTTCACAAAACGAACAGCATCAAACGCAGAAGAGAACAAAAGAAATTTACATTTAAAACGTTGATGCAATTTGGGGGATTAGATGCATATGCAATTAGTTGCGCACTAGTAAATTTTGGGCCTATCTTATGCAAAAATACGATATGAATCTTTTTCCTGCCCCGACATAAACTTTGACCTTTACAGCTTGCCGCATGTTCTAGCTAATCGGAATTACAGATCTGTGTGAAATTACTGCACATTTAAAATTGCACCAATTATGGACCGTTTGCAGTTTTCACACAAGGGCACACACAATAGGAATTGTTAAGGATTGAGATGTGAAAAGGGAGAGAAAGAGATGAGAAAAAAAAAGAAACGCTTATGCAGCTTCAATTATCTGTTGGAGACGGCGAACATGAAGCGCCCTCGAATAAAATGTGTATTAAAGTCCCTTTTAATACATTTCGAAATTGTCTCTGAGACGATTCTTTCGACACACATCACAATACCCTTCCTTCCACTCTTGGATTTGAGGGCCCTTTTTGCATCGTAATCGCAGCACCCAAATAATAAATTCTACTTATTTTTTTGTTACCTGGTACTGAGTGCAGTTGAAGCAATGCCAGCAGCAGCTTTCACCCTCAACATACTTCTTGGCTTGGCCCAGATCGCAGGGAAGACTGCAAACGGATTCCGGGGGTTTCGGGTGACCCAATTTGAACTGGATCTCTGCAATTTTAGAGGGTTGCAAATTATATATTTCTTTTTTGAATTGATGAATGCTAATGGAAGGAATTTATGAATGATAAAGGACGAACCTGTCATGTTGAGACGCAGCTCTCCCTCCATGTATTCGCCGACTCGGACCCATTGGTAATTGCCTGGGGTCACCTGTTTGAAGTGGATGATGTTGTACCTGGCCGGACCATCTCCGTTGTGGTCGAAGTGGAAACGATCGCCGCTCAATCCTGAAAGAATGAAAAAAAATTGTGTCTTGTTATAAATCGTTGTTATATTTTTTTTACATTGCTTATGCTGAGGAAAATCTATTCATTTATATACAAAGCAGGAGGCGAGAGTTTTAGAATTCGGCACCCGTCACATGAGGGATGGCAACATGAAATCAATTACGTTCGTGTCGTATCTGAACTGAATGGAAAAACACGAAGAATTTTTTTCAATAGGTTTATTAGCTTTATTTAAATAATCCAATATGATTATAATTCTAAATACTAATTGGAGAAAATATTTAATTTTCAATAGAATTTTTGATTCATTTTAAATTTTTTATTAACTCTCGGATAATACAGAAATTTGTGCCCAAAAAGTAATTTTTGACAGCTGTCACCTTGTGTCAAAGAAATGACTGCTGTCACTTTGTATCAAAGGTAACAGCTGTCATTTCGCGACTCTAATTTAGGACCCATAAATTGAGAAGCTGTCTATATCATAAAATTTTTATTTCAATTATTATTATGAAATATTAATTTTTGCGTGTCTTCAACGCCATCAATATCCTGAAACCTTTTAAACCGGACTTATCGCATTACTAGTTCGTTACGAAATGACAGCTGTCACTTATGTCAAAGAAATGACAGTTGGCACCTTGTGTCAAAGATGACAGCTGGCATATTGCGACCCTATTATAGGATATATATATATATATATTGAGAAATGCTTCTATATCATATTTGATTAATTTTTTTATTCCAATAATTATTTTGAAATAATAATTTATTTGTGTCTGTAACGCAGACAGTAAACTTAGTTTTCAATTTATACAATAGTAAATTATTCCATTTCAAAGTTGTCTACGAGTATGTTTCAGTATGCGTGTACTGAAAGGGAGAAGGTATGTTATTACTGAAACTGAAATTAATTTCAGGAATGCGCACAGATCCAAGTTTCTGGTGGCGTCAGGGAGCTGAATCTATTAGATTGTTTGCACGTGGACTTGAAAGAAAAACCGTCGTAAGACACAGGATGGGGAAGAGTAGATGCTGCGAAGGATCGTCGAAATAAAATCGAATAAGAGGAAATGAGAAAGGAAGAAGGACAGAGAAAGGAAAAGTATCCTTCCGGTGACGCAAGATGAATTCCCTTTGATAGGAAAACGTGGATTATGTAAATTCTGCATTGGCTGCCGTCAGGTCTCATGTAGCTTTCATGCAAGGAGGATCAGAGGAGCAAGAAAATATGAATATGGCAAGAAAAAAAAAGATAGGAAAAAAGAAATGCGTGATAAAAATTGCAAGTGGAATGGAAATGTTGGTTGAATCAGAGAAATTCTGTTTTTTTTTTGTTGCAAAGAAATGAAAAAATATATATAGAAGATTCGTGATGTTTAGAAATGAATAAGCTGAGTGTATAATTGTTATATCATTGAGAACATGTGGATGGAAAAGGAAGAGAAAAAAGAAATTAGGAAATTGTATTTATTGCTTTTTCCTCGCAAGAAAATCGCCGGAACTAATTGTATCCTCAATTGGCTTTCCTCCCCGAGATATTTATTGACTGTTCGGGTTGCGAAAGCTAATAAGGATTCAAGGGTTTCTATTTTCAAATGAAATTAAATCTGCACGACCGAACGTTAATTACAATTAATTACAAAAAAAAATAATTAATTTGTTTTAACTCTTAACTACTTCGGATGGGTCAAAGTGACCAACCTGACATTTGTTTTCATTCACATTCTATAGCAATTTAATTGTGGGGATCAACCTAGCTATTTTTGTATTTTCTAGTGTACATTTCAGTAAGAGCAAAACATTCGCGTCGAGAAGTACTTATTTTATTGTAGAGTATATTTCGGGTCAAAATGACCCGTCAATTTCAAATTGTTAGAACTTTAGTTAATAAATGTAAAATAATAATTTCCATTAGTTTTTTAATTATTTAATTAAAGGGTCATTTTGACCCCCCATTGTTTTTTTTTCTTTACTTGTCCTTATTAGTTAGATCCTTTCTTTTCATACAAAATTTAATAATGAACAATCATTAATAATTAGTAATTAACTTAAAGTTATAAATAAATTTATTTCACATTAAAAATTGCTGATGAAGAAATATGAAATCATGAATTGTACATTTTTTTTTAATTTAATATTTATCAATAAAATTATTACTGTTTTTTTTGGAAAGAATGTATGTATATAAAAATGCAGTTAAAACAAATTTAATATAAAAATCAATATATTTTTATGAATATTTCTGATTCATTTGACGAATATTATTTTTTTTGTTACGACACAATTATACAGTTTTATATATGGTATATTGAATAGGTGTGAAGTTTTTTTTTAATTTCAATATTAAATTGCTATGAAACGGTGACAATTAATGCTATTATCGCCATAGTTGCGTTCCTAAATCAATATCCATTGTCAACTGCATGACCATTAATATCTCTGTAATAACGTCAAGTGCAGAAGAGATATGAGACCCTTAGAATCGTAATCAAGTGGCATTTATCTAAGATGGAGAAGAGAGAAGAAAAAATGGTTTCTATCGAGTAGTTTCATAAACAATATAGTTATTTGATTTATGGTCTGATGATAAATTGATTATTGACTAATTCATTTATATAATATTAATATTAATGTTAGAAAGTAGGAAATAGACAACAAAAAAAACATTACTTTAATGAATGAAAATCAAGGAATTCGTATTAGTATAAGTAAGAATAAGATAGACTTGATCCAGATTAGGGCCAATACAAATTTGTATGTATATTATTAATGAATTAATGATTTACATTTTAATATAATATAATATTATTGTTTTACAAAAGTGGTTTTATTCATAAATTAACTAAATAATGCAATTAAATTTTACTAATTGAAATATCTTACTTATTAGTAAGAAAAGTGGCAAAATTAGTAGAAATATTATTGTTATTGAGCATGACATTTATTTATAGGAAAAAAATAATATTTGTTTGGCTTACCTTCAAATTCAACTTTTTTCAGGTATTTCAGAAGTTCTGTCCCTTTTGTAGGTTTCATAGCATCGCATAATCCAGGTCGTCCGTTGCAAAGCTCCAAATGCATGTCCCTATAAGTAAAAGAAGAAAATTGAAGAATATTGTAATAATTTATTGAAAATAGCGTGGAAAAATGTAATAATAAAAATATAATTTTACAATTATTTAATGTAATATAATCGATAACTTTTGGTTGAAAGCAGAATCAATAAAATTTATAATTATTATTAATTAATATCAAAAAATAATTATTTATAAACTCAAATGTCTAATATTTTGGTACCTTCACATAATACAATATTTATTAAATTAACAATATTTTTTGTAAATTTAGACAAATTATGTCTTGTTTACTAATTATAATCTTTTTATGAAGATTTTGTTTTTTTTTTCTAATAAAAGTTTTTCTATTTGACAAATTTTATTATTTATGACTTAAAATTATATAAATAATAAAACTTTTATTTGTATTCAAGCGTATAGAAATAATAATTTATGGAAATAAAAATAATTCTCATTATCTCACAGACCCTTGCTAATATCATCATCATTCATGGAATTGTCCTGCACACACGCGCATACGCTAATTCTAAATTTCGGTCGGACCCAGAAAGGGTCAAGCCTTTAGGTCAAGTAATCATACTGGATTCTCCCCATTCATAAATATCCAACGAATTTTATAATTTAATTTATCAAAAAAACAGACACACCTTGTATAAACAAGTCTGAGTAATTCTTTATATAGTAAATATTTATAATTATTATAATTAAATAATTAATTTAATATTATTTTTAATGTTATTAATACATAAACTAATATTGAAAATAATTAAAATACAACATAAAAAATATTTTGTTCAAATTTGAAAAAAAAATATGGCTATGAAATGAGAAAAATATTGAATATACTTTGTTTATATAAACTGTGCATCCTTCTTTTAACAAATAACTAGTTTCTTGATTTTAGGAATTATTAATGTCATATGGAAGAAAAATAACGACAATTATTATATAAATTGCTAAAGTAATTTAAAAATGCAACAATGTTAGAAATAAATATTTTCATGTATAAAACGATTGAAGGAATAAAAAGTCTTGAAAATTATTGAAAAATATTTTAAATATTACTTATGACCTAATATGCAGGAACATCTAACGTTATAAAGAAACTTTGATATAACTATGTTCACAGTTATCT